TTGGAACATTGGCCTGTGGACCAGAGAGTCCCGGGTTTGGTTCCTGCTAGGGGCATGTACCAAAAAACAAAAACAAACAAAAAAGGAATGCTGTTGATTTTTTTATGTTAATTGTGTATCCTGCTACTTTGCTAAATTCACTTATTAAGTCTAGTAGATTTTTGATGGAGTCTTTAGGGTTTTCTATGTACAATATCATGTCATCTGCAAATAATGACAGTTTCACCCTGGCTGGTTTGGCTCAGCGGCTAGAGCGTTGGCCCACGGACCTAAGAGTCCCAGGTTCAGTTCCCGCTAAGGGCATGTACCTCAGTTGCAGTTTGTCCCTGGCCCTGGTTGGGGTCGTGTGGATGGCAACCACTCGATGTGTCTCTCTCACATCGATGTTTCTCTCTCTCTCTCCCTCCTGATCTATCTGAAGATAAATGTAAAAATGTCCTCCGGTGAGGATTAAAAAATAATGACAGTTTCACTTCCTCTTTTCCAAATTGGATCCCTTTTATTTTCTCTTCATGTCTAATTGCTGTAGCTAAGACTTCTAGTACTATGTTAAATAAGAGTGGCGAAAGTGGGCATGTCTTGTTCCCGTTCTTAAGAGAAATGCTTTTAGTTTTTGCCCATTGAGTATGATGTTGGCTGTAGGTTTTTCATGCTGTATTGTTTTAAAAGGCAGGCCAGAGGTGAGTTCTTGGGAGGGGTAGACATTGAGTTGCCCATGGTGGTATTATGAAAAAGGCGATTACAGAGGGGAGAGTAGCAAATACCTTGTGAGAGGGAGAAACCAAGACCTGGCATCCCAACCTTGTTACTGCCTCTTTCTTTGTGCCGAAACTGATTCTAGGAGGCGTCCCATTACTAGAAAAGGTTCAGGTTGGACTGAATCAGTTCCCAGTAGCTAGGGAAAAATAGGAGCATCCTCCATATTTAATCCCTGTACAAGTGAGACTGGTCAGATCCAACACTGGCATTTGCCAGTGAAACCCTAATGTGTCACAACCAGTTAACCAGTGAGCTGTCTCCCCCTGAAACACTGGAATTGGCAATGCCAAGGCTCACAGTTCCCAAAATAAAACCCTGGCCCAAAACACCTGGTAGGGTTTCATTTTTTGTTCAGATAGAGTGGGAGGGAGAGAGAGAAAGAGAAACATCGATGTGAAAGATAAACATCCATGTGAAAGGGACATATCGAGTGGCTGCCACCTGCTTGACTGAACCAGGGCCCACAGGACCCAACCAGGGCCAGGGGCAAACTGCCCTTAGAGGGAACCGAACCTGTGTCTCTCTGGACCGCAGCCACGCTCTAACCGCTGAGCCAAACTGGCCAGGGCGACCTGTACAATTTAAATGAGTGAATTATAAGGGGTGTGAATGAAGGTATTAATTATTTAATTTAAAAGAAAAATGCTAACTGGGGTTAAGTGCCCCCCCCCCCCACTCTCCCCCACACCAAATAAACCCTCCAATTTATCCTCTTTGTTTTTCTTCACAGACTGAAATCGTGAACTGTTTGTGGTTCTTTCTTTTTTCATCTTCGGTCCCTCCTCCAGAGGAGCATCTTGCCTGAGCCCCACAAAGATGGGGGCTGCATCTAAATTAGTTCTAGCGTGCCCTCCCACACCCCGTACGCTAAGCCCCAAGAGCTATACTGTAGGCAAGTGGATGGGGTTTGACTCTCTGCTACTACAAAATACAAACCTTATCTCTATAATAATAACTAGCATTCTAGCGCTTAACGAATGTTATCACCTGTTAATTGCGCTGTGTCTGGCGTTTTACATGGGTTTTGACATCTAATAATTGTCACATTTCTAGGAGAAAAACAGTAGTATTACTCCCATTTTACAGATAAGACCTTTCAGGTCCGTGGCTCGAGACCCCCGAAACACCTCAAAGCACCCCGATCGCATTTTAAAAACCGCGCCCACTGGAGATCTGGTTCTATTTATATATAGGCTTGAGGCAAAGCGAGAACGCTCGAACCAGCCATTGAGGTCTCTCCGGGTGCCTACTACTCCCGACGTGCCGCGCGCGCCGACGCACCTCTACGGCCGTGGCGGAACAGGAGGGACTATCCGCGTTGCCTGTTGGGGGTTGTAGTCTAGCCTCGAAGGAAGGTGAGGCTGTAAAGAGGTTGGGTGTATCTAGAACCAATAAAGAAACAGATCTGGTTGAGCGCAGGGCCAAGGAGCCAATGGACGCGCGGCTTAGAGAGGGCGGGACTTCCGGCATCGAAGTCGTGGTGAGCGGCTGCGCAAGGGCAGACACTTCCTTTTGTGGGTAGTGGCGAACGCGGAGAGAACGCTATGAAGGCTTCGGGCACGGTAAGGTGCCCGCGACAGGAAAGGGGACCGGAGAATGCGGCGCGGGTCAAGTGGGAGACTCAGGAGGGTTTGTGGGCCGAGTCGGTGGTGCGCACTGCTGGATGGGACCCGTGCTGTCGTGTGCGGCTGCTTCGAAGTGCAGCCAACATGGCGGCCACTGTGGGAGCCTCGTGGGGAGGCCGGTTCTTGATCCGGGACCACTCGGGGATCGCGGGATCGGGGAAGCCGGGTCTCCTTTTCAGGGGAAGGGACACGTTGCACGATGTGTAAGCTCGTGCTATCAGACTTTGTTGAGTCTCCGAATTTCAATTGCCCAATGAACTTGGTGAGGGGAGGCAATGGTATTCCCATTTTCCCCAGTATGGCTGTGAGAAGTAGAAGAAAGTTATAAATGTGAGTTGACGAAGAGATTGCGAGCCTTATCGCTGAGACAAGTGCTGGGCATCACAGCACACTGATGCATAGATGGAAGAGTGAGCCCTGGGGGAATACAGGGCGGGAAGTGTCAGGTACAGCTCTCCCGCCTCAGTTTCCACGCTGGGAAAGGGACCCCATTGGTTCCTTTCAGAACGGGTGATTCGCGAGGTCAATGATTTCGACTCAGATGTGGAAATAGGAGCCGAGTTTGCGTTATCTGAGGCTGTCTCTTACTGGTTTTGATAAAATGATTGCGAATCATTTAGGTAGGTGGCTCTTTCCCACTATATCGCAGGGCTTAGATTTGGCAGACATCCTCACTTTCACATCCGTGTGAACAGGGAGCATCTATCTGCTCGGTAACCCAAATTTCTTTGGGCACCTGGGAAAATTCAGGCAGGAAAATTCAGGCAGCGGCAAGTTGCCTGGCAGCAGTACAGGGAGCCCAGGGCTAGAGTGGGAACTGGATTCTTGCCCTAGTGCTGCCTGGAGTGGGATGTGAGATCCCAGGCTGGTCACTGTTTCTGAACTCCAGAGTAAAAGGACTTGAGAAGGTTGCCTGACTGGAGCTTGAGGCTGCAAATCTAGGCCTCCACTTATCCCACAAGCATAAAGGGAGGGGGAGGAACAGTGTGGGGTGATAGCCCTGCCCAGCTTTCCAGAGTCAGGGCAAAGGGGACACTGCCCTTACATTTACAGGGAAGGCTGGACAGTTGTGTGACCCATGATCAACTGGATTTCACATGGAAGCCCAGGGGTGGGACTTTTTCCTCTATCCCTTAATCGTCCTCACCAGGCTTGGGAAAGAGAGCGGGGAATCTCCACAGTTGCCTGGGTGCCAGTCCCTCCTCACCCTTGATTCTGTTTCAGCTTCGAGAGTACAAGGTGGTGGGGCGCTGCCTACCCACCCCCAAGTGTCGCACACCACCCCTCTATCGCATGCGCATCTTTGCACCTAACCATGTTGTTGCCAAGTCCCGCTTCTGGTACTTTGTGTCTCAACTGAAGAAGATGAAGAAATCTTCAGGGGAAATCGTCTACTGTGGGCAGGTATGGAGTGTCCAAGACAGGGTGGGGTCTGGAGTAGGTTTACATCTTCCAAGGGGCAGGCCTGGCCGCACAGGGTTACCATTCTTCAGAGCCCCTGGTTCTGTTCACAGGTGTAGTTCAGGCCCTAGATCAGGATGAATGGGTGTCTCAGTGCTCTTTTCTCTCTCTTTTTTTTAATCCTCACCAAAGGATATTTTTTCCATTGATTTTTTTTTTTTTTTTTTTTGTAGGGAGAGTGGAAGGAAGGAAGGGAGCAGGACACACACACACACACACACACACACACCCCACACACACACACCACTCTAACCACGGTACTACACTGGCCAGGGCTCAGTGCTCTTCTCTTAAAGGTCTGGGGATGGTGTGTCTGGTGCACTGGGACACCTTGGCTGAGGCCATCACCTTAACCTGGGACTCATCTGTGAAAGGGGAAGAGGTGCTGTCATCTGGGTACATTGCCATGATGGGTACTAGACTGCACCATGAGGCTCCACTGGGCAGCAGCTAGTTTTCAGCCCAGCTATTGGAGTCAGGGCCTAGGCTGGTCTCCATAAGGGAAGTTGCCTGGGCTATTGCACTCCCACTTTTGCCATGGAAATTTCTGTGGGTGGCAGATTGCCCTCAGGTGCCTGATGGTTCAGGGACTGTCCATGGAGCAGCAAGGGTAGAAGAGGGTAGGGGCCTGGTGGGGGCCCACTTTCTGTTCTCCCCTCAGCCATTCTCTTTTTTTGGCAGGTGTTCGAAAAATCCCCACTTCGGGTAAAGAACTTCGGCATCTGGCTGCGCTATGATTCCCGCAGTGGCACCCACAACATGTACCGGGAGTATCGGGACCTGACCACCGCGGGCGCCGTCACCCAATGTTGTAAGCTACAGTGTCCCACAGCCAGATCCTTCCTCTTATAGTTGACATTGACATCTGCAGCTCAGTTTGTCACCCCCCTTCCCAATCTGCCAACAACGAAGGACAAGTGCAAGAGGCTTATGGGGGTGTTTGGTGCAAGGGAGGTGTTTGCTTAGGGGGCAGAATTGGAGAGGATATTCTGGGAACACCTTTTTTCCGAGACCTGGCAGCAAGTGGACCTTTGGGGTCAACCTCTAGTGTAGAAGTAGCTTCCCACCCAAAGCCAAGTCTAGCCCCAGCCCAATGTTGGGACCTGTAGGGGCCCAAAGTGCTCCCAGGATGGGCCACCTACCAGGGCCAAAACCTAAGCACCTAAACCCAAAACTGCTGTTTCTCATAGCAGTAGTTTAAACAGGTGCTGACAACAAGTGAACCTTGTCGCCTTTGGGGGCTGTGGCTGTGCCCCTCAAAGTGAATTAGGAGGTTCTACATTCCTGGTGGCCAGAGACTGAGATTCCTAGGCAGGCACCTAATGGGGGTTTGGGTGAACACCCAGAAACCCTAGTGCATGTTCACCCTGCTCCCTCCTGCAGACCGAGACATGGGGGCCCGGCACCGTGCCCGCGCCCACTCAATCCAGATCATGAAGGTGGAAGAGATTGCAGCCAGCAAGTGCCGCCGACCAGCAGTCAAGCAGTTCCATGTGAGTGCGCTGGGGCCCCTGCTGGGCAGGCTGGTCTGGGGGGGGGCTCCCTCCAGCCTTGGGTCTGACGCAGGAGCCCAGTGGGGCGAGTCCACACCTGTGTAGACCTTTTGAATGATAAGGTTAAGAGGCTTCCACCCCCCTCACCTGCCTCTCTTTGTCATAGGACTCCAAGATCAAGTTTCCGTTGCCCCACCGGGTTCTTCGTCGCCAGCACAAACCACGCTTCACCACCAAGAGGCCCAACACCTTCTTTTAGACACAGGGTGCCCCCATCCCCTGGTCTGTCCAAATAAACTCCTTGGGAAAACTTGGGTACTCACTTATTTTGTTTGCACACCCTGCAGAACTCAAAAGGGTGCAGCCAAGTTATGAGTTCTCTGCTCTGAGAGGAGTCTTATTCCTCAAGTAGGGCTCAGACAGTGAGATCTGTAGAGGTGGGGTGGGGTGAGGGGCAGGAATGTTGAGGGTCTCACCCCCAATCTCTCCTGCCCACTCAGTTCTCTGAGGCTTTGTTTAGTGAGACACTGTCATGGGTGGGGTCCTGGGAGAGCTGCATTTGCAGCCCTATCAGGCAGCCCTCTGCTGTGAGCTTGGAGGTGCATTGTAGGCCACAGGTCTGGCCCCCAAATCTGTGCCTTCTGCCTCATTAAACACAGGCCTCCATCCCCCCCCCCCCCCCATTCTTCTGGTGGTGAGATGTGGCAGCTGGACACTCAGGGAATCAGGATACTGGGACTGATTCATTCTGCCTGGGGCCTCTCCTGGCCTAAAACTTGGTTTCTGGTTCCAAGGTCCTCAGAGTAGACAGGAGGTGGTGCTCAAGAGGGACATGAGCCTGCTGTGCTAAGGTTCTGCTGCTTCCCCACTTAGGGCACCTTGAATGAAGCTGCTCTGATTCTGTCCAAGGTGTTTGAGGTCATCTGTTTCCAGAAAACCACTTCAAGAAGTTAATCCTACCTTGGCTGAGCCTTCAACAAGGAGATTGAGGCACAGGCCTTGGGAGTACCTGCTCCTCTGAGCATTGGTGTCCAGGCTACCTACCACATTTACTCAGTCAACAGTGCTTGGGGTGCATGCACTGGGGGGCACAGGCTGTGCAGGACCCACCATGGATCAGGAAGACCAGTCACAAAAAGCATACAGCCAGGCCTGGGGTGTCCTGAGTAGGGAAAACAGCTACCCCACAGGGAGGGATATAGTATGACATCCCTGGTTTACCAAAAAAAAACAACTTCAAACCCACCTGTGTTTGGAGAGGCCAGTGGCCCAGAGCACAACTTGTGCACAGCCAGCCATTCTCACAGGAAAGATGCTCGAGTGGGTCCCCAGGTTTCCAGGGCTCTCGTAGCTGCTTTGGCTGCTGTTCCAGCACAGTTGACTCCTAGCCTCTGGGCTTGTGCACTAGCTGAGCCTACTACCTGGGCTGCTCTCCTCAGGTCACCACTAGTTTTGCCTCTAATGTTTCTGAACCATACATCTATTCATATCACTAGGTTTTCTGTCCCTCACCAGACTGAGGGCTGGGACTACATATGTCACTGTCCCCAGCAGAACTTTGGTAAGTTTGTGGGACCCAGAAAAGGGCAGTGATGGCCAGTGGATATCCCGCCATCTGTGTCTTAATGGGCAACTATGCTAAAGTCCGTGTTACAGTGTCAGGTAATTGATTTTTGGCACTGAAAAAAAACATTTTGGATTTGCTTTTATGAAGCTGGTGCTTTTTCTCCCCCAGCCCAAATTAAGATTATTTGTATGACTTTGGTTGATTGCCTAGCTGCTGGTTGTCTCTATTGATTTGTAAAAACTTGGGAGAAAATTTCCCCCATGTTGCAAATAAGTGCTTGTGGATTTTGTTAATCTATTGTGGTTTCTGGCAGAAACTAGTTCCCCCAAATAATGTTTTTCCTCAGTAATAGGATCTACATGTCTAAATACCACCCAGAAAGTTTCCCAGCCTACCTTGCAATTAGGGGTGGCCATGTGATCACAGTAGTGATGTGTTTCATTTCCAGGGAATATCCGTTATTTGGAATATAGCCATAATGGCCAGTGCTCCAGCGACCATCCTAGGCCATGAAAAGCCACACACCAGCAAAGAGGTGGAAAGAGTTTGGGTTCTTAACCCTGTGTGGCTGCAAAGTCATGATGTGGCCTGGAGGTGGGCCCTGATGGCTGTCTCTGGGGCAAGTCACCGCTCTAGTTTCTTTTATGTAAAGTGGGAGTAGTGATTGCTTAGTTCTGGGGGTGGGGAAGCTTCAGATAGGCTAGAGACAGGGAGTCCAGGATGTACTACCAGGAATGTGCAAGTCCAAGACCCCACAAAGGCCCAGGCACCTCATCCCTTTAGGGCTCCATTGAGGCGTCATCCATATTCCAGCCTGGAAGCCAGTTGGGAGAACTCTGGCCCTGCCAGGCAAGGCGTGGGGTCATTCCCATTATTGAGGGTCCTTAAACTGAGAATAGTAAGCTCAGCTCTAATTTCACCCTCTTCAGCCACCCACCCTGCCATCTGCTCATCCTCATTACCACTTTGCCCAGACTCCTCTACCATGTAACCACCCACCTGGCAATTCCCTACAAACCCTGCAGAGAGCAGCTGGTGGGACACTGGCTGGGGCTGGAGGCCACTGAACTGAGCCCAGTCTCCACTGTGTGTGCTGGGACCGCCCAGAGTGAAGGCCAGAATTAGGAGGTGGGGCATGTGAGACAGAGTGGCACTTAGATTGCTGATGCCACTCTGGTCCGCCCAGAAATGATAGGGCAGGAACCCAGGGCACCTTTCCCACTGCCTCAGGTGCTGAGGCATCCCAGGACCCATTGCTGGGCATGTCTAGGTGACACACCTGGGCAAGACAGGGATCCCTGGAGGAGAGACACACACCTCTCCTCCTTGACCCACCCTGCACCCAGCTTCTTAGAACCTTCAGAGCAGGTACCAAAGCAAGAAGAGTGGGGGCCCCAGTAGACCCAACACATCCTGAAACCCAGAGAGACTTAAGATTCAGGATCATAGAGTCCTCAAGACTAGACTCCTGGGTCCTGGCCAGGTAGCTTAGATGGTTAGAGCATTCCCAGTATATAAGGTTGCAGGTTCAATTCTCTGCTGGCACGAAAGGATCAACTAGTGAATGCATAAATAAGTGGAACAAATTGATGTTTCTCTCCCCTTCTCTGTATCTAAAACGAATACATTTAAAAAGAAAAAGACTAGACTCCTGGAATCTCACAGTGATGGCACCAGGGGTAATAAAGTTTTGCTTTTACTGAGTGCAGGATACAAGTTTAGGGACCCAGTAGACCATGCTGGAGCCAGAGTAGCTCACAACCTCTCATCCCTGACCCTTGCCATGTCTCCAGGGAGCCATGGGAGCACTGGGGATGCCCAAGCACTGGGCAGCGATGAGGGTGGCAGATACACAAGTGTCACCCCAACATTCCTGCCCCTTCTCAGACTGCAGCAGCTGGGTCTTCAGGATTGTCTTGCCCCCTTTTCCCTTCCCATTAAGGTGCTACTTCATCCCACCCTACTTCCTGGCCCCCACTCCCCAGCAGGCACAGGAGATGGTCTTGCCTATCCCTCAGGGCTCCCAACTCGCCTCCTCTCACATCCCAGAATTCTGGAATGTGAATCCACGCATTTCTCCCCATCTCATTAGGCCTATTATTAGGTCCACTTCATTAGGCCTCACTAATTAGATCCCTCCTTCCTTCCAGACTCTCCAGTGGCTCCCCAGTGCCCTTGGAATAAAATCCACATCCATCACCAAGGCTCAAGTTCCCCTGGCGGCCCTCCCTGCCCAGCTCCTTTCCACCTCAGGGCCCTTCCCATGTAGCTCATCCTCTGCTCATTCTCTTGTAAATCTCCACCCCAGGGGAGTACCCTAATCAGAAGCCCTACATATGGTTGTCCCCAGATCATCACTCCTGTCATCTATCAGCTTCTGAGGTAGGTATTCATCTGCTGGCTGGGTCAGTATCATGATTCTGTGTGCCCAAGGGGCCCACTTTTGTCCCCAGCACTTGGTGCAGGGCATCTCCCACAGTAGGTGTTCAATGAACGGACCTCAACCCAGGTGTCAGTCTGTGACCTGGACCCCCACTCCAGGGTAGAGTAGAGGAAGACCGGTGCTGGCACTAAACAGTACTCCCTCCAAGAACCTCCCTGGGGAGACAGAGCAGGTTTGCTGATAGCAATTTGCATGTGTTTTCATGGCTTTGCAGGAAGAGATCCCCCGCCGGGATTTCCCCTGCCCCAGTAGGTTTTACAGGAGGGTGCGGCGCCCGAACCCGAACCCGGAAAAATAATAGAGGTGGAAGAAAGAGGAAGTTGGTGTCTTCTACACCCTCCTGGTGTGGGTGGAGGGTGCAAGCCAGCGGGCAACAGATAGGGCTCTGTGACAGTAGTGGTGTCGGAGCCCTAGGAGGACGGCCTACACATTGCATATATAAAGAAGAGAGTCTCGGGGACACTCGTGAAGGCCCGGGGTACACGGGACTCAGCTGGGGCAGCGCGTGTATGCTAGAGGGGACCACCAGGGGGCGACAGAGGCTGGAGAGGACGAGACAGTGCTCTAGCGGATGCTCAGATCCCGCCCGCTTACAGAGGAGGGTACCCAGCTTTTGGAGGGCGCACCAGAGGTTAGAGCCTCCAGAGGCCAAAATCCCTCCGGGTCCCCCATCAAAGGGCCTCAAGATGACAGTGTCTGGGTCCTTTGATCGCATGATCCCAGACAAGCGACTTCCCCTCTCAGTCTCCTCATTTGTGTGATAGTCATGTGCTAGATGCTACCTCCCCAGGTACTCATGGGTCCACCATTTATTCGGGTTCATTGCCACTGACAGCCCCTCCCCATGACCTTCATTGTACAGTATGCCCAGCACAGGGCAGATGCTCTGTGCATGTTTGACAAGGAGCCAACGAATAAATGAAGAAAAGAATGAAAGTTACTTTGTCTGTGCCAGGTTTGTGTTAGGAGTGTTCAATTTATTCCTCTGAGACCAGAGCTCTTTTTTCCCTATTTACAGATGGGGAAACTGAGGCCCAGAAAGCACACCTTCTCTAGTACATATGCACTAAGGACTTGAACCCCAATGTCTTCCATCCGGTTTAGCCAGAGTGAGGGGTTTGGTGATGCACTCCCACTAGGGTCTAGAGAAAGGAGGGTCCAGTTTTCCTTAGAGGACCCCGCACACTTGAAAGTGAACTTCAGCCCTGTGGGAGAGTGAACTCCTGGTGGCTCCAAGGTACTATAGCACAGCCGGAGTTCAATGCTGGAGCCACAGCTGCCAGCTTGTGTGGCCTGGGTGAGTGACATGCCCTCTCTGAGCCTCAGTTTCCCCACCAGCTAAAGGGAGACATTAACAGCCCGTGGTCAGGGGAAAGTGCCACACGAAGCCTCCTCGACACAACCTCCAGCAGCCATTCACGTGACCAATCCAGTCCAGGGAGGAAAAGAGTGCGGGCAAGTCTGGGGGAGGAGTTTCGCTGACCCCGCGGAAGCCCAATAAAGCCGCAGCCCGCCGCCTTGGGCCACCTCTTTAAGCCCCACCGAGACCTTCTGAGTCAGCGCGGAACGCGGTTCCCAGGGAGAGGGACAGAGCCCGGGTGGCAGACACACGACTTCAAGGGGCAGCCGACGGAGAGGGAAGCGACGTGGACAGACTGACAGCGGAGGCAACCGTGTAGACAGAGAGGAGAGACAGGGAAGCAGGCAGCCTCAGCTAGGGCCGCCGGGAACCAAAGGGAACAGGCGTGCGCCTCGTGCGGAGGCTGAGCATCCTCCTACCTCTCTCGGTCCTTGCCTTCTCCTCCACCACCAACCTCCCCAGGCCGGGCGCACGGGGTGGGCGGGGTCGCACCTGGCCCCTGCACCTGCGCTTCATGGCTTCCGCTGGGGCAGGGGCACCCGCCACGTTTGGAGCCTGGGATTATGGGGTCTTTGCGCTCATGCTCCTCGTGTCCACGGGCATCGGGCTGTGGGTGGGGCTGGCGCGGGGCGGGCAGCGCAGCGCTGAGGACTTCTTTACAGGGGGCCGGCGCCTGACGGCCCTGCCAGTTGGCCTCTCACTGTCCGCCAGCTTCATGTCAGCCGTGCAAGTGCTGGGCGTACCCTCTGAGGCCTACCGCTATGGCCTCAAGTTCCTCTGGATGTGCCTGGGCCAGCTGCTCAACTCCCTACTGACCGCCGCCTTCTACCTGCCAGTTTTCTACCGCCTGGGCCTCACCAGCACCTACCAGGTAACGGGAAGGGGCCGGGAGTGGGACCAGCCTGGCTGGGAACGTAGGGACGCGATGGGGGGAGCCTGGGGCTTTGGACTGCTGTGCAGGGGTACACAAACGGGCTTCTTCGTGCTGCCCGCCCCCACCCCCCCGCCGCCCCAGGGCATACAAGTGGGCAGAGTTCTGGGAAGAAGACCCAGGCATTGAGGCGAGGGACAGGAAGGAGGAAGAGGAGCAGGTGTCTTGGTTCTCTTGGTGGAAGCCCGCAGGGTGTGGGGCCACCAGGTTTGCACTCATGTGTGGACAGGCTCACACCTGTCCTCCTCCCTCATATGCCTCAGCGTAGGGACACCTGAGTGCTTGAGGGGCTGTAGGCTTGTGATTCCAAACCCGACTTCCCCTCTTCTACTTTTGGCAAGGGGCAGGCCTCTGCTCAGATGTCCCAAATGTCCATCACTGCTAATCACAGGACCATCCTTCAGTCCGTGGGTGAAGTGACTAAAACTGTGGCTACAGGGCTCCTCGGCTCCTTCCTGTCCCTCGCCTCAATGCCTGGGGCTTCTTCCCAGAACTCTGCCCACTTGTATGCCCTGGGGCGGCGGCGGGGGGGGGGCACGAAAGCACGAAGAAGCCCGTTTGTGTACCCCTGCACAGCAGTCCAAAGCCCCAGCAATCAGACATGAGTGAGGGGAGACATGTACACATTTATTGACAGTCCTCCTGGGCACACGCTGTGAGGACAGGCATGGGGATAGTGTGTGTACACAGGTGTGTGAAGACTGGTCAGAGTGTGTGTGCTTGGCAGATGCTTCCACAGGCAAGAGTACAGAGAGCAAAGTTGGCCTCCCGAGGGAGGGCAGAAACTAAGAGAGCAGGTAAAGGAACCCAGAGATCTCCAGCCCCTGGGTAGGATCTGTCTAGGTAACTACAAGCCCTCGGCTCCTCTTTGCAGTACTTGGAGCTGCGTTTCAGCCGCACTGTGCAGCTCTGTGGAACCTTGCAGTACCTGGTGGCCACAGTAAGTGGCCTGGGCCCTACCCTCTCCTGCAGGGTCCTGCTTTCATCTGCCCCACCCACAACCCTACCCCATCCTTCATGACCCCGCTTTTACCCTGCAAGGCCCTCCCATTGCAGTCAGGTCTACAGGTTTGGCCAACTAGCCTCCCTCTTATGCCCAACCTTACCCAGCACCCACATGCATGGCCCCACGCACCTGCCTCCTCCCTACCGCAAACACCCTTCTCCCATCTCTGGATTTATTCCTCACCCAGTCACCGATACCACTACCCTACCTCCCCTTCCCACCTGCAGGTGCTATACACTGGCATCGTGATCTACGCCCCTGCGCTCATCCTGAACCAAGGTTTGACTCTGGGAGATCAGGGGAGGGTGTCTGTGAGGGAGCAAAGGCTTACAGGCTATACCAGAGAAGGGGGCAGGGGCTGTCCCAAGAGACACATGGGAGGGAAGGCTCCTCCTGGAGAGAGGAGAGCCCAAGACACTGAAGGCCAAGTTTGCATCCCACTCGGTGGCCTAATGCGGGGTGGGGGGGTCTCCTTGGACAGTGACCGGGCTGGATATCTGGGCATCACTCCTGTCCACTGGAGCCATCTGCACCTTCTACACCACTGTGGTGAGTGACCCTCCTCACCCCACTTGGGGCTCCATGCCCGCTGGGTAGGGAAGACCCTGGTCTGGCTGTCCACACTCTCTACATTTCCTTCCTCCTGAGGAAGCCCCGTCCCAGCTGGGCCTGTTTCCTCATCTTCATAATGAAAGAATATTTAAAGACTTATTGGTTAGAGTCCAGGGATAAGGTAGCTTCAGGCCTGGCTGGATCCAGAGTGTCCTCTGTGTACTTCTCCCATCTCTAGGGGTTCCATCTGCTTCATGCATCCACCCCTTTGGGCAGAAAGTGAGTTCCTATCTCAGGATGGGCTGGCTAAAGTCCAGGAGGGCTCTGTTTGGCTGGCTCTGGTCTTGTGTGCAGAATGAGCAGAAGTATGGGGGACTGGGATTTTGGGGGGGTTGGAATTTTTTAAATTGAATTTATTGGGGTGATATTGGTTAATAGAATAATATAGGTTTCAAGTGTACAGTTCTATAATAAATCATCTATATGTTGTATTGTGTGTTCACCACCCCAAGTTGTCTCCTTCCATCACCATTTATCTTCCCTATACCCTCTTCTACCACTTCAATCCCCCATCCTCTCTGGTAATTACCATGCTGTTTTCTGTGTCTGAGTTTGTTTGTTTGTTTGTATTTTGTTTCTTGCTTAATCCCTTCACCTTTTTGGGTTGGGATATTCTAATTGACTATTCCTGGAGTTGGGAGCTTATTGGTTTCACCTGAACAGCCTGTGAGCGGAGAAGGGGCTTCTCCAAAAGAAAATCCAGGGGCTGCCATGCAAATGTAAAGGCATGGAGGCTGGAAGGGTAAAAACAGCAGCTGATAATAATGGTAGTAATAATAATAGTAGCATTTATCACTCATTGAACACTTATATGTGCTATGTGCCATTCCAAATATTTTCTCATATTAACTCTTTGAATTCTTACATCATAATAAGGGGAGTACTGTTATTTTTTTAATTGATTCTAGAGAGGGAAAGAGAGAGAGAGAGAGAGAGAGAGAGAGAGAGAAAGAGAAAGAAAGGGGGAGAAACACTGATGTGAGAGAGAAACATCATTCAGTTGCCTCCTACACTTGCCCTGACAGGGACTCAAACCCTTAACCTGGGTATGTGACCCGACTTGGAATTAAACCTGCCACCTTTCCGTGTACAGGGCAAGGCTCCAACCAAATGAGCCACACCGGTGAGGGCAGGAAAATACTGTTATTTTATTTTTTTGAGAATACTGTTATTAACCCTACTTTACAGATAAGGAAACTGAGGCAGAGAGGGGCATTGGTCCTAGCTACTGCTGGAGGCCAGGCCAGATTGGCCCCAGCCAGGTCTCCCGTCTGACCCCTTTTTGCCTCATTCTGTCCTGTTCTGCCGGCCCCAGACAGGTCCCTGTCTGACTCCATCCCCTTCCTCTCTGTTACATCCTGCAGGGTGGCATGAAGGCTGTGATCTGGACTGATGTGTTCCAGGTTGTGGTGATGCTGGCTGGTTTTTGTGTTGTCCTGGTTCGTGGAACCATGCTTGTGGGTGGGCCTAGGCAGGTATTCAAGCTTGCCCAGAACCACTCAAGGATCAACCTGATGGAGTGAGTAAAAATGTAGAGGGGCATACTGTAAAATGATGGAGCTGGCATCCCTCTGCCCTAGGACAAGCCAGCCAATGCCTCTGGCTCCAGGAAACCCTCCCTGATTTCTTCCACAGACTCCCCACAGATAGTACCCTGGCTCTTCTCTCTGTACTCCCCTACTCCCTACCCCTTCACCTGGCCCAGACCTCTGCCCTATCCTACCCTCCAGGCCAGACTGGGAACTGAAGTCTCTCTGAGGTTCCAGCTGGGCACAGAAAGAATGGTTTTAAAATGCATACAGAGATGACTCAGTGAACAAACAAATGAATTTTCAATCTGTCAAACTCCTAATCACACTTCTAAACCCACCCCAAATGTCCCCTAAGGCCCTTAAGGAAAATGACCATCTTGGGCCCTTGGGAGAAAGAATTCAGTGTGGCATCCCCACATGGATGACTTGCCCTGTCTTCATTCAGCTTTGACCCAGACCCACGGAGTCGCTACACATTCTGGACTTTCGTGGTGGGCGGCACATTGGTGTGGCTCTCAATGTATGGCGTGAACCAAGCACAGGTTCAGCGCTACGTGGCCTGCCACACAGAGAAGCAAGCCAAGCTGTGAGTGTTTGAGGAGGCAGGGTGGGGGCCTCTAGCATGAGCTGTCCTCCACCCCTAGCCTGAGGCACACCTCCCCACAGGGCCCTGCTCATCAACCAGGTGGGCCTGTTCCTGATTGTATCCACTGCTGCTGGCTGTGGCATTGTCATGTTCACATTCTATATGGACTGCGACCCAATCCTCACAGGGCGTATTTCAGCCCCCGACCAGGTGAGTTTGGTCCAGCCTTCTAGGCCACTCCTGACCCATCCACACTCTGAACCTCAATATGGATGAGGTTGAAAAGCCTTCCTAGCAGCCTATGCAAAGGTCCAGAGGCAGGAGAGAACTAGGCTCAGAGGAGAATCTAGGAGGAATGGGGAAGATGAAGTTGAGAGTCAATGAGGAGCCATGGTGGATGTGAGCAGGAGAGGAGCACACTCAGATGTAGAGTCAGACTCTCTGAGGGGTATCATGGAGAAGATGAAACCATGGTCCAGCACACAGTGATGGTGTTAAAATTAATAATAATGACCAGCTCCCATGTCCCAAACCCGACTCTATGCCTCATGCTGTTCCCTTCGCAAACAGTTTCCCATCAAAGCCTTCAGCATACAATGAGGCCAAGGATGTCATGGTGCCTTCTTTACAGATAAGCAAACTGAGACTGAGGTGGGGGGTAGAAGGCACTGCCTAAGGTCTACAGGCAAGTCAAGGGCAGTGCCAGGGCCAGGACCCCTGCCTGGGTCACACCCCAGCTGGAGCTCTCTAGCCATGGGGTTCGGAGTGGGCAGAGGCTGCAAGGCTATTACATCTACTGTCCTCTGGGATCAGAATCCCAACCACCTGATGCAACCTCAGGCAGGGTTGCACCTCTCAGCCTCACTGTCCTTGTCAATAAATGGAGGTGACACAGGACCCTGCCTCAGGTGGATCCCAGGGCTTTATGCATGGTGGGGCTCAGCGACAATCACAGGTGCATGCAGCTCATCAACAAACACACAAAATGCCCACTGTGAGCCCAGTCTGGGCGCTGGGTACAGGCAGGGTGAGGACAGACAGAAGCCCCAGCCTCCAGCTCTTGTCCTGATGTCTGATCCCCACCTCCCCTCAGTACATGCCCCTGCTCGTGCTGGACATCTTCAGGAACCTGCCTGGGGTCCCTGGGCTCTTTCTGGCCTGTGCCTACAGTGGCACCCTTAGGTGAGTGGCCCTGATTGTTCACTCAGTCATGTCCCAGCCCCTCAGGGTCTTGTCCCTACCAGCCTCCTCACCCCTACCCCTTAAGGATACAATGCTCTGGACGTGTCTACCATTTGCAGTTCCTGCTTGGTTCCTAGCAGGCAGCTCAGGTGGTTCTGTCAAAGGGCACACTCTGGGCACAAAGACCTCAACTGTGGGGTCTTCAGCTTCTTAGCACCTGGCAGCCACTCCAGGCCCCTCTTTCTTTCTTCCTTCTCTCTGTCCTTCTTCCCCAAACAAATGTTTATTGAGCACTTACTATGTTCTAAACCTGCTGTTTTAAATCCTGAAGCACAGCTGTGACCAAGTGATCCCCTACTCCTGCCCTCATGGGCCGCACATTCTGGTGGTTTCAAATCTCCCATGACTTCTGGCCATAGGGTGACCAGGGTCCCATGTGGCAGTTCTCTGCACCCCATTATTGCTCTGTAGCAAGACTTTTGTCATTCGTGTCCCTGGTTGTGGGTATCCCTACTCCTGTGTGTGTGTGTGTGTGTGTGTGAGGGGGGGGGGTCTCGAGTCTGATGTAGGGATGGGGGTGTGGTCATTTCCTCCACTCTTGAGGGAGTTTGACACCCATGCCTCTGCCCTTGGACTAGGTGAGTCTTGGCAGGTCAGATGGTGTGGGCAGCTGGGGGCCTCCCCAGCAGGTGGGCCCCAGAGATGTTGTGGCCAATCTCTGGATGTGGCCTGACCACACCCCTCTCCCACCCCCTCGTGCCCCCCAGCACCGCCTCCACCAGCATCAATGCCATGGCTGCGGTCACTGTGGAGGACCTCATCAAACCATGGCTGCCCAGCCTGGCGCCCCGGAGACTCATAATCATCTCCAAGGGCCTCTGTGAGTTTGGGGGACCTGGGTGGAGGGCCAGAGCAGCCTCTCCTCACTGACAGTGCCGTCCCCATCACTACAGCGCTCATATATGGCTTGGCCTGTATCACCGTGGCAGCTCTGTCCTCACTGTTGGGGGGCGGTGTTCTCCAGGTGAGCCCTCTCCCCAACCCTGCTCCATCTCCCCAAGAGGTGGGGCATCTTCTACCTTGCACTGAGGTTAGAGAGGTTCATATACTCTCTGGGTTCCGTCTGCCACCAGCGAATGGATACTTCCTGCAGCCATCTAGGTAAAGGTGAGGGGAGGTGGGGGAGGGTGGCCTGAGAGCAGGAAGAGAATCATGGATGTGGGATATGGAATCGCATCAGTTAGGAGAGAGAATGGACATCTTTGCCTCCAACCCAGGGGAGAGAGACAGAAACAGGGCATCCTATCTGCTTTAGGGAAGCTGAGGCATGGAGGAGTCTCAGGTCCACAGTAGGATTCCTCAGGTCTTGCTTTCCCAGTGGATAAACTGAGGCCTAGAGAGGTGGGGTGGCTCTGCCTTCAGTCACAGCCCCACCCCCTCCCTCAGGGCTCCTTCACTGTCATGGGTGTCCTCAGTGGCCCCCTCCTTGGAGCCTTCACTCTGGGAATATTCCTCCCGGCCTGCAACACACCGGTGAGTGGGGGCAGGCTGCCGAGGGGCTGGGGGCGTGGCCAGACTCTCCAGTGGGCTGACTCTGGCTCCTCTCCCAGGGCGTCCTCTCTGGGCTGTTAGCAGGCTTGTTGTTCTCACTGTGGGTGGCCGTGGGCGCCACTCTGTACCCGCCCAAAGCAAAGTCCATGGGGGTCCTGCCATCCTCAGCTGCCGGCTGTGCAGGGCCCTCAGCCAATGCCTCTGGCTTCCTGGGCCCGCTCCTCATTGCCAACGACTCCAGTGGGCCCACCAGGTGAGCGTGAGAGTCTTGGCATGAGGGAATGTGATCAGGACAGGACTCTTAAACTGAGTCCCAGATGAGGAGGAGGAGCAGGGTTTGGGAAGAGGTGAGGGAAGGGCATTTCTAGCTGAGGGATGGAGGGATAGGAAAATGCGAAGGCCAGGTTCAAATTAGTGCGCTGGCTATGATGAGGTTGGGGTGGATTTAAAGGAAGAAGAAAAGATGGGAGATGAGGTCCAACCAGAGGAATTTGGTCTGTTTTTGTTTTGTTTTTAATTGTGATATAATTTTCAGACCATAAATTAGTCTTTTAAAAGTAGATTTTAGTATATTCACATGGTTATACAACCATCATCACTATCTAACTTTAGAAAATTTTCATCACTTCAAAAGGAAACCCTGTATTAATTGGCAGTCACTCCCCATTGCACATCCCCCAGCTCCTAACAAACACTAATCTTTCTGTCACTATGTGTTTGCCTGTTCTAGACACTTTATATAAATGGAATCATACAGTGTGTGGCCTTCTGTTTGACTTCTCACTCAGCTTGGTGTTTTCCAGGTTCATCCATATTGTAGTGCTGTCAGTGCTGCATTTCTCTTTATGGCTGAGTAACATTTTCTTGTGTGGACTGACCACGTTCTGTTTGTCCATTTAACAGTAGATGGATATTTTCGTTGTTTCTACTTATTTGGTGATTGTGACTAGTGCTGCTATGAACATTTATGTACAAGTTTTGGTGTGGACATATGTTTCATTTCTCTCTGTCTATACCTAGGAGTGGAATTTTTAATTTTGATGACGTCCAATTTATCTGTTTTCTTTGGTTGCTTGTGCTTTTGGTGTTATATTTAAGTAACGATTGCCAAGCCCAAAGTCATAAAGATTCACACCTATGTTTTCTTCTACGAGTTCAGTTTGGTTTTATTCTGAGAACAGTAGTGAGCCATGAAGGATAATAAGCAGAGGCAGGAGGTTATCTGAGTTACATTTTAGTAAAACCCCCTCTGGTTGTATGGAGAAAACCTGGGGGTGAGGGAAGGATAGCAAGAGAGGAGTATTGGTTACTGCACACATCTGGGTGACCATTAATGGAGGACCAGGCTAGGCCATGGCAGTGAAATTGAAAGGAAGGGAATGGATTGAGAGTGACTCCTAGATTCATATTCACCTCTCCCACCCCCAGAATGGACCCTGATCGACCCACCTTGGCTGATAGCTTCTATGCCATTTCTTATCTTTATTATGGTGCCCTGGGCACACTGAGCACTGTGCTGTGTGGAGCTCTTATCAGCTACCTGACAGGTAAGCAGGGCTTGTGTCTTCCTCAGAGGTTACCCTGTGCCTCCCTCTGCCTCCAAGACCCACTGGGCAGGAAGAAGAGAAAGGATGCTCCCATTGGTCAAGCAGCCACTGTACAGTGGACACATCTTTCTCCCTTTATGCTGTATCACCTTCAGGAGAATCCTGCACCTTGCAGGGCTTGTTCTATTTCACAAAGACAGAAACTGAAACATCCCCAAAGATTAAGTCCTTGCTAGAGAATGTAAGGGGGGAGTGTGTCACGGGTGCTGTCCACGGTGCTGAAATAGCTTCTCATCAGGGCCTTGACCACTCCACATCCCTCAGGGAATTGTGAACCCCACAAAGAAGCAGAAAGAGATCAAGAGAAATCAATAGAATAACAGCACCTGTCCTCGCTTTCTGAGTGTAGACTTTACATTTAACAGGCCTTTATTGAATCTGTCTCTGTGTTTTGAACAAAATCACATACTGAAACCTCCCAGAGTGGGGCAGAGGCTTGCCAGCATTCCCCCAGTGGGTCACTATCAGATCTGGGATTGAAACCTATTTGAGCTCTCCCTTGCCTTCCCAATCTCCAGTTTCCACCATCCCTCACTAAATTACTTCCATTCTCTCTGACCCCCAGGGCCGACCAAGCGCAGTGCCCTGGGTCCTGGTCTGCTGTGGTGGGACCTCACATGGCAGACAGCATCAGTGGTGCCCAAGGAAGAAATGTCCTCCCAGGATGACAGCTTGGTGAAGGTCAGTCTCAGGGCTGGGCTCCCAGAGTGGGAGAAGGGACAGTAAAGTAGCTATAAAGTAGTTTGGGATGCTCTGGGCATGGCCACAACTTAAGAAATGACATGATGAGTCACTGTCTTTCTCAGCTTCTTGTTACGTCCAGTGGAAAGACTCAGTTGGGAGCTGATGTGTCTTCAACACTTTTTATTATCCCCTTTAACAAAGATTAAGCAGAAGTTGATATTTTCATTTTCATTGTATCTGTTTTTACACTTACTTCCAATCTATGGTAGGTGAAACTGGTTTGCCTTTAGGGTGTTGATTTAAAGTCTCTCCTGAGCCCTAGCTGGTTTGGCTCAGTGGTAAGAGTGTCGGCCTGCGGTCCAGAGAGACCCAGGTTCGGTTCCCGCTAAGGGCATATACCTCCGTTGCAGTTTGTCCCCGGCCCTGGTTGGGTCATGTGTGTGGCCCGCTCGATGTGTCCCTTTCACGTCGATGTTTCTCTCTCTCTCCCCCTCCCACTCTATCTGAACAAATAATAATAATAATTATTATTATTATAATAAAAAGTTTCTCCTGAAAATAGAATTACTTAATTCAAAAGTGAGTCATTGCACCAGCTCAGTGGTTAGAGCATTGGCCTGCACACTAAAGCGTCATGGGTTAGATTCCCTGTCAGCGCATACCTGGGTTGCAGGTTTCATCCCCAGCCCTGGTTAGGGTGCTTGTGGGAGGCAACCAATCAGTGTGTCTCTCTCACATCGATGTTTCTCTCTCTCACTCTCTCCCCTTCCTCCCTCCCTTCCACTCTTTCTAAAAAAAAAATCAATGGAAAAAGTATCTACTAGTGAGGATTAACAAACAAAAAAAGTGAATCAACATAGAGATAATCTTATGTAAGAAATGTGACAGGCTAGACAGGTTTTGTTCAAAGCCTTGTGGTTGCTATGTGAATGCCTTGAGTTTGGGGAATGCTGTCCCTGAGGGGTCTAATTCAGGCCTGCCCCTGCTTTGGACTCCTTCTTTTGTTTCCTCATTTATTTATTTATTTTTCTTCTTTATTGATTTAAGAGAGAGAGGAGGGAGAGGGAAAGAGAGATAGAAACATTGATGAGAGAGAACATTGACTGGCCGCCTCCTGCATGCCCCCCACTGGGGATTTGGCCCACAACCTGGGCATGTGCCCTGACCAGGAATTGAACCAGTGACCTCTTGGTGCATGGGTAGAAACTCAACCACTGAGCCACACCGGACTGGCTGTTTTCTCATTTATTAAGCACTTACTGTATACCTAGCACTGCTCTGGGCTGGGGTCCAAGCCCACAGTCTAGTACGAGCAGATAAAAACTAAACTGAGAAATGAGTAGGATCTTGGCAGGGGGTGAGTGTTAGGAAGACAGTAAAACAGGATACTATGATGGGGGTGTCCCCCTGGAAGAAGGGACATTGATAGAGTCCCAGAATTCCCAGAAGAAGAAGGGCAGTCTCGGTGGAGGGGACAGCAGGTGTAAAGGCCCTGAGGCTGGAACAGGTTTGACTGGGGTTGGGGGTGCCTGGGGGTGGAAATTGATTTGGCTGAAATGTTTTAAAGCTCCCTCCAGAAGCTGTGGGGAAATACTTATTTTCTTGAAGGGGAACAGGCAGAGAGTCAGAGAGAGAATGGAGGCAGGCATACCTTCAAGCTCTGATGGCCTGGACTGTAGGTGACATGGGCATGGGGAAGAGAAGTGAATGGAGATTTTTGGAAACAGAAGGGACTGGCTGATGCACTGGACAAGAGGATATTGTGCAACCCTGCCCAGGGTTCTGTCCTCCCAGGCCCTCAGTGTCGCCATCTGGGAGATGAGCTAACACAGAAAAAGTGGTCTCTGAAGAGTCTTTCTTCTCTCCTCCCCCCAGGGGGCTGAGGAACTGCCCCCCAGAGCCAAGAGGCCTTCTAATATCCTGCCCACCAACGAGGACCAGCTGCTCTTCCTGAGGCAGAAGGAGGTGAATGGAACAGGCTCTGGGTCCTGGAACCCCAGCAGTGGACATGAGGGTGGTCTTGACCTGCGAGAGACAGACCTCTGAGCCAGCCTGGGACTGACCACCTGGAATGGAACTTCAGGGTGTGGCAATCCTAGGCTACGAGCCAATCCCAGGCAAGGGGAAGACGGCCTCGGCTCTGATCGGCTGGATGATGTCATATGCAAATGAGCTCAGACTGCATGTCCCCGCTCTATGGGAAGAGGTGAAGCCCCGCCTCCGGGAGGTTTTTTTTCCAGATTCCTGCTTCCAACCAGCCAGCTGCTACTCTTAGCTGCTGCACCCCCGTCAGCATCCCCAAAATGAGGCCGGATTTTTCCATACCTACAATAAAAAGATGTTGGAGTCCTCTTTGCACAACATGGGAAACCTCCAGGTTCAATGTTAGGGTCTGAGAAAGACCCCAGCTCTTTCTGAGAGGCGTCTGAATCTTAGCAAGGATTTTGGAGGTTCTCAGGCCCAGTCCCCTGTACCTCACTTCACACGCGGGAAAACTGAGAACTAGAGAGGGGCAGGGATTTTGCCGAGGTCACAGAACAAACCAGAGGTGCATTGAGAGTTGGACACCAGCTTTTCCTCCTTCACCCCTTCCTTGTTTTCATCTCTTTGAAGAGTCAGACAGTACATGGCCTCTGACATTGGAAGCAGGTTGGGAGGAGGAAGGAGAAATAACGTTTCAGCTTTCCTCCTGTGTCTGGACACTTTCCCCATCTCATTCATTAAGGACTGTGAGCCCATTTTGCAGAGGAAGAAACTGAAGCTCAATGAGGTTGCCTGAGGTCATTCAGCAAGTCTGGTCGATCAGGGATGGGCCTGGGTGCTACATGATGCTGGGGCTCTATTGAGGACACATCAGTGGTGTACAGGGTCCAATCAACCAGGTGCACATTCCTGACTCTTGGCTAGAGAATTCATCCACACACATCAAATAAATGGACTCTGAAGCTTGATATCCTTGGCTCTCTGAAAAATTATTCTGGCCTCAGTGAGATCTGAGTACAAATTTCTGTGTCTCTTGTCCAAGCCTACAAGTGAATAAACCTGAGTATTTAAATAATCAGAGAGAGGTGACCACTCCCACATCAAGGTGATTGTAATGCCCTCCCAGACACGCAACTTGTTGCCCCTCCTAAACTTTCTCCTGAAGCACTCCCTCCTTGCTGCCCTTTGCACCTGGATAGCTTCCACAATGTTCCTGCACCAGCCCCTGGGTTCTCTGTGACCATGAAAGCTGGCTGCACTTGCCTCTGCCCACACACCTTCCATGGCTCCCATGGCCCCCTGCTCACTTCACAGGGCTGCCAGGTTCAGTAGAGCCCCCCCGCCCCCACCCCATGCCAATTCATGTCCACCTGGAATCTCAGAATGTGAGTTTATTTTTTTAAATTATGTTTTTATTGAATTTTTAGGGAGAGAGAGATAGAAACATCCATGTAAGAAACATTGATTGGCTGCCTCCTGCACACCCCCTACTGGGGATTAAGCCTAAAACCCAGGCATATGCCCTGACCAGGAATTGAACTGAGACCTCTCAGTCCCTGGGACAACGCTCAATCCACTGAGCCACACTGGCTGTACTATTTTTTAAATTTTTTGTTAATCCTCACCCAAGGATATTTTTCCATTCATTTTTTAGATAGAGTGGAAGGGAGGGAGGTGGGGGGTAGTGGGTGAGAGAGAGAAACATCAATTGGTTGCCTCCCATATGACCCCAACCTGGGCCTGGGATTGAACCTGCAACCCAGTTACCTATCCTTGACTGGGAATAAAATCCATGGATCTGTGGGCTGATGCTCCAACAGCTGAGCCAAACTGGACAAGGCAGAATGTATGTTTATTTAGAAATAATGTCTTCCCTGGCCTGTTTGGCTCAGCAGTTAAAGCATCAGCCTGAGGACTAAAGATTTGCAGGTTCAATTCTGGTCAAGGGCACCTACCTTGGTTGCAGTTGGATTCCCTGCCCTGGTCAGGGTCATGAGGGAGGCAACCAATTGATGTGTCTCTCTCACATCAATGTTTCTCTCTCTCTCTCTCTCTCTCAAAATCAATGGAAAAATGTTATTGGGTGAGGATTAAATAAATAAATAAAGTCTTGGCAGGTGTACTTAGTTAAATTAAGATAAGGTCATACTGAATTAGGATGGGCCCTGAATGCAATGACTGTGTCTTTTTTTTTTTTTTTTTACTTATTTATTTTTCCTTCTTTATTGCTTTTAGAGAGAGAGATAGAAACTTCAATGAGAGAGAACATCAATTGGGTGCCTCCTGCATGCCCCCTACTGGGGATTGGGCCCATAACCTGGGCATGTGCCCTGACCAGGAATCAAACTGATGACCTCCTGGTGCATGGGTCAACACTCAACCACTGAGACACACCGGCCAGGCCAATGACTGTGTCCTTATAAGAAGAGGAAAAGAGGCTCAGGGACATAGATAGATAAGGAGAAAGTTGTGTGGATATGGACGCAGAGATTGAAGTGATGCTACCACAAGCCTCAGAACACCTGGGGCACCAGAAAGGAAAGAGGCAAGAAAGAATCCTCCTCTAGAGCCTTCAGAGGGAACATGGCATGCCGACCCCTTGATTTTGAATTTCTGACCTCCAGGACTGTGAGAGAATACATTTTTATTGATTTTAAGCTATGGCAGCAACAGCAAACTAATACAATGGTCCCCCCTTATCCACAGTTTTACTTCCAAGGTTTCAGTTACCCATGGTCAACTGAGGTCTGAAAATGTTACATGGAAAATTTCAGAAATAAACAATTTATAAGTTTTAAATTACACACAGTTTTGAGTAGCATTATGAGATATCTGCTGTCCTGCTTGGTCTGAACTTGGCCATCCAATTTAGATATCTTTTAAAAAATTAATATATATATTTTTTTATTGTTGACACTGTTACAGATGTCCTCCATTTTCCCCCTTTTGCCCCTGCATTTGCCCCTGCCCACCCCCACCTTTGCCACATTATTGTCTGTGTTCATTGGCTATGCATATATATCTAATTTGAATATCTGTTAAGTTCTTTTTCATGCCTAATTGCTTTGGCTGGAACTTCCAATGCTATGTTGATTGAAAATTTTAAAAAGCAGCCATTCTTTGCCCAGCCGGTGTGGCTCAGGTGTTGAGTACTGACCCACAAGAGGTCACTGGTTTGATTCCCCTGTCAGAACACATGCCCAGGAGGTGGGCCCGATCCCCATGGGGGGTATGCAGGAGGTGGCCAATCGATGTTCTCTCTCGTCGATGTTTCTATCTCTCTCTCCCTCTTCCTTCCTCTCTCTAAAATCAATAAAGAAAAAAAAAAGCAGACATTCTTTTTCTTGTAATCCTTACCTCAGGATATTTTTTCCATTGAGTTTTAGAAAGAGTGGAAGAAGGGACAGAGAGGGGAGGAGGAGAGAGAGAGAAAGAAACATCAATGTGAGAGAGACACATCTCCCACTTGACCCCAACCAGGGCTAGGGATCAAACCTGCAAACCAGGTATGTGCCATTGACTGGGAATCAAACCCAAGACCCTTCAGTTTATGGGCCAATGCTCTAACCACTGAGAAAACTGGCCAGGGCTGAACATTCTTGATTTTAGACCTCAACTCACTAGATGCCAGTAGCACCCTGCCTGTGTGACGACCAAAAATGTCTCCAGCCCTGGCCGGTTTGGCTCAGCGGTTAGAGCGTCGGCCTGCGGTCCAGAGAGACTCGGATTCGGTTCCCGCTAAGGGCATGTACCTTGGTTGCAGTTTGTCCCCGGGCCTGGTTGGGTCATGCGGGAGGCAGCCACTCGATGTGTCCCTTTCACATCGATGTTTCTCTCTCTCTCTCTTCCTCCCGCTCTATCTGAATAAAAAATAGAAAAATGTCCTCGGATGAGGATAAAAAAAAAAAAAAATGTCTCCAGATTTTGTCCAATGTCCTCTGGGGGCAAAACTGCCCCTGGGCAAGAACCACTAGACTATGCCTATACAAGTACCAACCTGTCTCGACTCCCATATGTTTATACTAAGACTTCTCAGCATTACCAAAGACCAGGAATTCTGAGCCTTTGAATGATGCTGCCTGACCCTGGTCCAAGGAAATGGGCTGATGTATACATGGAACACACTGGAGTTCAGAGAAGCAAAGGACTGGAGGGGGGAAAAATCCTTAGGTCCATCTTGAGAGCCTGGGATATAGGACAGCAAACCAGGATGGTGATTAAAAAAAAAATTCTGTGGGGGGGGGGGCTTCAGAAGACTCTAAGGGACAAGGTGTAAAAGCAAGTTGCTCAGTAATACCTATAGTCACGTTCATGCCAGAATTTCTCAGCCTTGGTTTGACATTTTGGGCTGAATACTCCTCTTTTGTGAGGGCTAGTCTGTGGATTGTAGAGTGTTGAGCAGCATCCCTGGCCTCCACGCACCAGTACTCACTCAATACTGAGCACTCTCCCCTTCCCCAGTTATGACCATCAGAAATGTCTCCAGCATTAATGACCAGTGTGGGGACTGGGGGTAAGGGGGGCAGGGCAGAGTCATCCCCAGTTGAGCACCACTCTTCTATGTGCAAAAAGAGTACGGTTCCCTTTTCCATAGTGTTATTTCATTTTTTAAGTGATTTTTATAATCAGGAAAATATTATGAAATGTTTGACATTTATTGATCATATACTATGGGTCAAGTGGCTGACTCATATAGAAGTATTGATGTTTATTAAGATATGACTCAGTAGCAAGCACTTTTGGTAATTATTTTGGTTAATTTGTAATTAATATACATTTTAGAGCAGTTTTGGGGTTACAGAAGAATTGAGCAGAAAGTTCAGAGAGCTCCCATAGGCACCGTTCTTCCCTCAACCCACTTTCCCACTTTTTTGAAAAAATTTTTTAATCCTTACCCGAAAATATTTTGCTATTAATCCTCAGGTAGGGAGAGAGGGAGAGGAAGGGAGAGAGAGAGAAGCATCGATGTGAGAGGGACACAACGACTGGTTGCCTCCTGCACGACCCCAACCAGAGTGGGAGACAAACTGCAACTGAGGTATGTGCCCTTGGCTGGAATCAAACCGAGTACTCACTGGTCGGCGGGCCGACGCTCTACTGCTGAGCCAAAACAGCCAGGGCACCAGTTTCCCTCTCATTAACATCTCCATTAGAGTGATACATTTGTTATAATTGATGAGTTAATATTGATACATTATTTTAAAGATGTTTTTATTGACTTTTTAGAGAGAGCTAGAAACATCCATGAGATTGGCTGCCTCCTGCACTCACCC